GATCTCGAGGAGTACATACAGACAGACCCTCCAACCATCAGAAAACTCCGACCTGATCGGTCGTACTGACCGCCGACAGATCACTCCAGACAGCAGACAGGCCGACGTCTGCACGCGGCCGGCCGGGCGAGAGGCTTGACACGATCCGACCCTGCGAGAACCTGACGCTGCTGCTCTAGCTATCAGACATGCACTGCTGACTGCTGCCACAATATGCGACCGGTGCTGGCCCACTTGGCGGCCTTCCCAGTCAGTGGTGAGGCGCAGTTCAGAGCTGTCGATGCACGATGGCGCGATGCCGCACTGGTCCCACATTGGTAACACGAGACCACCACGTTTGCCGGTCCAAGAGAGAGGCACTGGTGCTGTCCTGAGAAGGTGCGTGGTCCCTCTTGACTGCCCATGCGCGCGAGGCTGTGTAGGCATAGCCTCGAGAGTGCCAGCAGCCAATCCGAGGCAGTTTCGGTGACGCGCATTGCGTCAGAAGCGTGCACGCAGCTGGAAGGACGCCTTCCTACTGGCCGTACGATCAGGTCGTCACTGAATGCTGGATACTAAGGCCGCGAGCTATGGCCTATGCGGGTGATCAATTGTGCAGCATGGCACGGTCAGCAGCGCCGACAGGCTGTCGCAAGGGCCAAGGCGTGATAGCATGGCCGCAAGTACGCCGAATTCCCATGACAACACAAGCGAAAAATCGCGCAAAAAAAGAAAAATGTCAAAAAAATCGGCGCCTGCGGCGAGCCATGCCCATGGGACCCGATCGCCCCCCCGCATGGAGATACCCTCTAGAGCGATTATTGCAATATATACGATTGGCGGCAGGGCGGGGGGGGGGATCGCACTGGCCACTGCCACTGTGGCCACTGCGCACTGGCGCAAGGTCCAAGGACCAAGGTTTTTTTTTGCGAAAACGAAAAAAAAAGTCGATGTGAGGCGCTGATGTGTGTGTAGTGTGATGACGACCCCGCAGCGGTGGCAGCGCACTCAATACTCCGGGAAAGACGAAAACCGAAAAGTTCCCGCTTCCCACCCGCATCCCGGTCCGAGCGGTGTCCTATACTCTGGCTACTCCCTCTTCTCCCCTCTCGTGTCCCTACCCACCCTCAGCGCGGCCGGCGCCGTCACCATCTCGACGACGCCCAGCCCGCCCGTGAGGCTCGTCGCGAGCGCGAGCAGCACACACCCCAGCGCCGTCAGCCACCGCGCGAGTGGCCGGTGCCACAGCGCCGCACCGACCGCGGCAACGGCGATCGCCCACGCGAGGCGCGCCGCGGCGTAGACGCGCAGCGGCGCCGGCGCCGCCTCCGCCTCCGCCTCCGGCCCTCCCGCTGCCCGCGCCGCCAGCCACGCCTCCTTGGCAGCCCACCGCTCCTGCAGCCAGCCACCAAGCGCTTCGTCCGACGAGAGCGGCAGCTCGCCTGAAGAGAGAGAGGGGGGAGACCGCGCCTCAGAAGCAGCTGCGAAGAACTAAATTCCCTCCCCCCCCCCCCCCCCCCCCGGGTATATCTTTGGCGGCTCTCGGCTATTTCTCGGCCCGGGGAAAGGGGGGGACGGGGCGCTTGGCCGGGCCCGGGAAGACACCGGGGGGCATTTCCCCCTCGGGGGGGCTCCAACCGGCGGCGGCGGCGGGCCCGGCGCCGCCGGGCGGGGCCTGTTCGGGGGGGTTGGGGACCGTCCCGTCGTTCACGGGGGTCAGGGGGGCGCCCAAGGGCCGCCCGGGCTCGACCAAACCCCCCTGGGCGGGGCGGGGTGAGGGGGGGGCTTTTGGGGGCCCGTCCGGAGGGGGGGGGAGGGGAGGCCCAAGCTGTCCAGGGGGTTGGGGCAAGGGGGGGGGTTTTCCCCGGCCCAATTTAGCCCCGGGGTTGAAACCCCCGGGGTGGGTGGGCATGTGTGTGTGTGTGT